TTTTGAAAAATCAATATTTAATTTCTTTAGTGATAGGAATCTTTTGAATTTTGTTTTGTTTGAATGCTACATGAATAAGTAAAACATTACCATCTTAATTTTTGGTTTGTCAACAACATTTACTGACAAGTTTTGCCAAATTGTTCCCTGTTTATTTCCTAGTTATAACAAACCATCACTTATTCAAACTAATAGTATCTGGTGGAAATTCTAGCTTGCAAAATATTACAAAATAAATTTTTATACAAAAGCAGAATTATTTTTATATGAAAGAAGAACTATGACTAAAGCTGCATGAAATATTTATTGCATAATAACGTTTGTGATAAAATCTTCTTTATTGAAGAGATTATACCAAATTTTAATCCATTCACTATTAACAAATAATTGATGCTTTTCAAATACTTGAAAGGATTTGCAAATAGTTGATTCTATGAGGAAGTTCATTCTCTTTGTAAACCATCCTTGTTCTGTTTGGTCCTTCTTGTAAAATGGCTAGTGCAAAGGGAAATTTCATAAGATTTGGTAAGGTTTTACTGTCTTAGCATTTCTATTCATTTCCAAAGGATCATATACATCATTGATCTGAGCCTTAATTATTTTCACAAGGGTGTTTGTTATGGGCTAATAATAGAAAATACATGGGGTCAGTGAGTGAAAAATAACTGTCAGCCTCTGAAGGTAACTTCTCGCAAGGCAATAAATGACTACATAAGGACCAGTCATGATGGGTAAGAGCTGAACCACAGAGTCAACAATAGTCACCACCATGTACTGTAACCTTGGGCAAATGCCTTAAGGTCTCTAAACTTCAATTTACTCATGTTTGAAATAATTATGACACAGAAGAGTACACATCATAGGGCTATTGTGGAGATTAAACGATATAACATGTACAAAGGATTAAATGATACAATGCATGCAGAAGTGCTTAGAGGTGTCTTATGGGGGGACTTTGTTAATTTCCATCACCTCATTCCATCCTTTTGCTGGTGACAGCTAGAGGCTCTGCTCTCTTCTTTTACCTAGCACTGCCAGACCCATGTGTCTGATTCCTACTCACCATTGCCATTTGTGTATCTTAAAAACACCTCAAATTTAACATGTCCAACATGGAAGCTTAAGTTTTGTTCCTCAAAACACTGTACTTTTCTATCTCAGTAAATGGCACAACAGTCCATAAATTTACTTAATCCAGAAACTGGACATTCACCTCTGGTTCTGTTTTCCCTCACCTTCCTCATCTACTCCAACAGCAACACCTTATAGCTCAGTCAAGGGGTTCACTCTACAGCTTGTCCCATGTGCACCATTTGCCTCTTGGTAAGCTCACTAGCTTCAATCATCCCATGACTTCTGAATGAGACTATCCCTCCATAGCAGTGGAAATTTCTAGAGAGCTTTCACTTGCGGAGGAACTAAGTGAGATCATGGGCACAATGTCCATTATGTTACTTCTTCCCTCCCAGATTGAGTCTTGCTCTCCTCTGCTGTGTTCTCCACCACAGAGGCTGGGGCTCCTGAGCCCTCTGGCTTTTGGTTGCTTCCTGTCAAAGGGGAGTTTTGGTCAGGAATAGGAGGGAGGGAAGGGGGAGGAAGAAAGGGAGGAGAATATTTCCTCTGTTACTGTATGGTTAAGGTTGAGTCTTAACCTGGCAGAAAAATATCTCATCTACATAAGTCTCTCTCCTGCCAGAGTGGTGACCACTCTTTCCCCTTAACCCTTCAAAAGCCTAGATGTAGAAACAACCTGCCTTATAGTTCCTTTAAATCCACAGCTTTGTAGTAATGCCTTTGGAAATAAATCTTCCTCCTCAAATCATCTAATTTTGGGAGTGCATCTATTTCTGTTGAGACCCTAACTAATACAGGCACTAAACATGGGTTTTCTTTGCAGTTAAGCCACAGAAAGGTACCTGCTGTACTCTAATCTGGCAATACTGCACCCCATCTTGTTGGTATGTAGGGTGTTATACAATCTGGTCTCTTAGAGTTTTAACTGGAAGTCTAATCTTTCAGTTTTTCAAATATGCAAAAATATCTCCTACTCTAGGGCCTTTTCACATGCTGCTCTCACTGCCTGAAACAATCAATTTCTCCCAGTCTCTGAATGGCTAACTCTTCTTTTCCATCAGGTCTCATTTTAAGTGTCATTGTCTTCTCTGATCACCCTCTGCTACAACCTTGCCCCCTAAAATTGTTATTTTCTATATTATCCTTTGGATTGTGTCATTCATCCATTGCACTTGCCATACTCTCTATCATTTTATTCATTTCTTAAATTTATTTGTTTGACTTATCATATCTACCAGAAAGAAGGCTTCATAATATCAGGTATGATATGATTTTTATACCTCTGTATTCCTGGCTTCTAGCACAGTGTCTGTCATAAAGCAAACCCACAATAAATATTTGTAGAATGAGAAGCTAGATGAAGTACAGTATCTGCTAGTGCTCAATAAATAGAGACCATCATTGCTATTGTGAAATCTCACATGTTCTGATTAGTAGATGATAAACTTCAGAATATCTACTGCATTGAGCCATACTATTTTATTTTATCTCACAGACCTATTTCAGAGAGACTTTTGGCAGAGTTGGGTTAAGAAACAAGCATAACATATAACATGACATATGACCCTGGCAAGTTTTCTCCTCTGTACTAACATTTTGCAGTCTTTTGAATTTCCTATATACCCTTTTTAAGGGATATGTGTGTAGCTTTCTTTTTGAACCATCTCATCTCTCACTCTGGGGGCAACAAGCTGCCATCTTGTGAAAAGCCCATGGAGAGGCCCATGTAGTGAGGAGACATAGCCTTTGACCACCAGCCAGCAGTAAACTAAGGCCAACAGACACGCCGCGACTGAGCTGGAAAATAGATTATCCAGCCTCATTTGACCTTGAGATGACTTCACACCCAGTCCACAGCTTGATTACACCTTTGTGAGAGACCTTGAGTCAGGAAAACACAGCCAAGTGGCTTCTGGATTTCTGATCCGCAGAAATTGTGTAAGATAGTAAATGTTTTTTGTCTTAAGTTGCTAAAGTTGGGGTAATGTGCTAGAAAGTGATAAATAATGCATATTTTGGAACCTGGACAAGGAGTGCTGCCAAAATAAGACCTAAAACATGAGCATGACATTGAAACTACACAGTGGACTTTGAGGAGAGTGTCACACTTTAAGTACCTTGAAGAAGATTTTACTAGAAACCTCATGATCTTTGAGAAGTGGAGTGAGAGCTTGCAGGAAAGTGAGGAAAATCTCATTGGAAAGTGGAGGGTGGGAAATCTTTATTACAGAGTGTCAGAGAGTTCAGCAATCTGGTGTGCAAAGTAGAAAAGTGAAAAAAAGAAAATGTACTTAGAACTGGATTATCTCACTGAGGAGATTCCCAACTAGAGGATTGCAAGTGCCACCTGGTTTCCTCTTGCTGCTTCTTATGGGATATGACAGATGAGAGATGAACTGAAGGAAGGACTGTTCAACAAAATGAGTCATGACTTGAAAGAGTAAACAACTTTTGTCAATTCTCAGCCTCTTTGGATGGCAAACCATGCTAAAATGAGGAAATGGCTTCTGAACAAAGATCAAAAACAAGGAAAATAAAGCTCAGAGATGAAGTCAAGAGTGTTGTGCTCAGATCTTTTGTCAAGACCTCAGAAATATCAAAGACAGTACCTCAAAATACTATTCGCTGAGACAAAAGGAACTCTAAAGAGATTAGGGTTGAGCCTCACGGTTCCCCTCAATCAAATGATAGGATTTCTAGGGAGTCAGAGGGGATCGTCCCTCATCCTGCCAATGGGAGGCCAAGGTAGAAAATGTCTTATTTTGAAGATATTGGTGGGTTTGATCTTTGTCTAATGAAGTAGACTCCAATAAGATTCACAGGTGACCCACAGAGTTTTAAAAGAAATTATATAAGCAGAAAAATCACCTGCTTGGACTAAAAGGCACAGAAAGAAAACAAAATGAAGAGGTTTTTGGACAACCAAAGACCTACTGGCAGGAAGTAGGCTGATGAAAAGACTTAGCTGCAAAGATGTGCTGCCTTTCATGAAAGAACAAAGAAAGATTCAGAAGATGGAACCCAAAGCCCAGAGGACAGGGCTGAAAGCCATGGAGAATTATTCCCAGACCTTGAGACTTCATCAAAGAACATCCAATATATTTACTTACCTGGATTTCATAACTGCTGCCCTCCCGTTATTTATTCACATCTTTGTGTATTTCTCTCCTACATTGTATTGGGTTTAATCTGTGTGACAGAAAGCATACAGCAGAAGTAATGGTGTGTCATTTCAAGATTAGGTTATTAAGAGATGACAGCTTCCATCTTGTGTGCACGTGCATGAGGGTATGCTCTCTCTCTCTTTCTCTCTCTCTTTCTCCTCCTTTCCATCATTCACCTTCTCTGAATATGTTGATATTTGCCTGTATAGGACCCTTTAAGGACCCCTGCAGGAGTATTCTTAATAGGATTTCTATACATTATAATTTGCATAGAATAGTATTACATTATGCCTATTGTTTTAGCATAATTAAGTTACCCCTTTTACTTCCAAAATGCCATGGATTAGGTAATAAATTATATGACTAAAATTGCTATTGATATCTTTCATATCCTGCACATCTACCCATATGTCCATTTATATGTTCTAAAACCATGCCATTACGGTGTGTGTGGGTGTAGGGGTGTGTTTGAAGGAAAATAGAAAGAGGCAATGAAAGTTGTGTTGTATGCACCAAGCATTTCTTCTCCTTTTGTTATGTTGTTTACTATTCCCTTCCTGCCCAAAAAGTGGCTAAGGAAGTGAGAAAAGTCAAGAACCCATAATAAGGTAGCCGCTAAGATATAACTCCCATTTCTCATTTGTTTCTGGGAACCTATTAACCTCTGAGGGTCAGCATATCCTGGTCTTAGAAAAAACAGTTTTTACATAGACATTTCAAGTGTGTTTTAAATCCATTTTATTTTTATTTTCTTTCATGTAGGATTTGAAATTTGAAGGGGAAGGACTCAACCAGTACATTCCTATGTCATGTTTAAAGACTGACAAAACGTTTGAGAGGTATGTTCCTTAATGTTAGATTTAGTGTGTTTTCTGTGTGTGTATGTTTTGCTATGGATTAAATGTGGGCCAATTATAGATGACAGAGACTCCCTCGTTTGATACCCTGAGTGTCAGGTTTTTGGGAACCATCACTCCATTTCATCCTGGGATATACACAGGCCCCTTCTCACTTATGGTGTCGGGATGGGGCGTTAGAGAAGTACGATAGCTGGGAGTCGTGTCTTTTTTATCTTCTAGAAAATATCAAACTCCTCAGTTCTGTGTAGAAACTTCCAAGGTCTGGATGTCGTCTCGGCTCCTCCATGCCAATGTCGGAGGCACAGGGGTAGCAGGTTCCCAGACAGTTCCCAAGTTGGTTGGTCTCACGTGGAATTTCGGGCTTTACCCTTAGGACTATGATGGTCATAACAAGAGAGCGAACATTCCTTGACATCAGTTTCTCATTGGTTAAGAAGGAATAATAATACCTTGTCAGATCACTTTAAGGGTCGAATGAGATAAGAAATGCAATGTGTTTGAAAGGGTGCCTTGAGTATGCTGAGCGCTGGCTAAATACTAGTTAATGCTGCACACCAGTGGTTTTCATCAAGGATCAGTTTTGCACCCCCACTCTTGCCCCACCCAGGGGACATTTGGTCATGTCTGGGATGCTTTTTGATTGTCATGACTGGGACTGGGGGAGTTGGTAGTGGCATCTAGTGGGAGGAGACCAGGGCTCCTGCTAAGCATTCTGCAATGCACAGGGCAGCCCCCACAGCAGAGAATTATCTGGTTCAAAATGTCAGTAGTGCTGGGGTTGAGAAGCTCTGCTACACATCAGTGCTGCTTATTCAGGGCTGTTTTCTGAACTCATAACCCTCCTAGCAGTGCAAATAAGATGTCACCAAAGTGGGACCTATCTCCTGTGAGGATTATTTACCACCTGAGAGAAAAGCCTGGGGAGATGGGATTGTATATTACCGAGGCATCACTTGGGCAATTAGGTGGCTGAGGGTAGAGGTCCGGGAGCTGTAGAACAGCATGCCTCCCTTGCTCGGGATTTCTGATGACAGGACTTTATACCAAGAACATGGCCAGGGAAGTCTACAGGACTTTATATGCCAGAGCATTAATTCTGGGCTAACTTGCAAGTGTGAAAATAGGAACCAACCTAAATATCCAACAATAAGCGATCATTTAAATAAATTACGGAAGACACTTAGAATTAACTACCAGATAATACCCAAATATTATGCTGTAGTAAAAATAAAAATCTTATGGAAAATGCCTATAATATACCAGGTGGAAAATACAGGTTACAAAATAGTATTTAAAGTGTCAGTCACATTTGGCAAAGAAAAAAAAGTGTGTCTAGCTACCCAGTATGAAGAATAGATGTCAGCATTTTCCAGTGGTTATCTGTGGGCTGTGGGCTAATGGGTGACTTGGAGGGGGGAGGTGCTTTTTATATAATTAAAAAATGTTTTTTATAATGCACAGGCACATATACTTGCATAAGTATATGAAATTAATAAGTGCTCTAGAAGAGGGAAAACAAGAATAAGAACATGCCTTAGGACCTAATGCAAAAGTGAGCTGATGTCTGGTTCTGGCTTCGACCTAGAATATGATTGCTCCAAGGAGACACAAATCCCCAGATTTATCTCGAGGTGCCCGGTATCAGGTTAAAGATGTGACGTAACCTTTTGATGCACATTGTTCTCCTTTTTCACTTTAGGGAAGGTATTTTTAGAAAACCTTTAATTACAAAGAACAGGGATTGTAACCAGGGACTGTTTTCTTTTTTTCTTTGGGATTATAATCACGAATAGTTCTAATTATTTAGATTACGTTTTTAGGATATTTCTGAGTGTTTTACAATTCTTGTCAAGAGAACAAAGAAGGAAACTGAGGAAACCATCTCACTGTGGTTAACATAAAATGTTTGATGTTTACTAATGAAATCTGTTTACCTTTATAACTGTATAATAGGGCCATTAAAGACAATAGATACAGTAGTTTAAAAGTAATAAAATTTACAACAAAGTGTATTTAATTTGAAATTGAATTGCCAGCAAATGGGTGTCCTAATGAACCCTTGTGTCAATGTAGCTCTAACCAAATTAAGGGAAATCATTTGTATCACAGGAAACTAAATCAGCAATGAGACCCAAAAAGGCTATTCCTCTGGTGGGGGTATAGTCATTGTCACAGATGGCCCTGCTGATGGAATTAAGCTTAAGTCAGGAGAAATAAGATACAAGATCCTTCTTAATTCAAATGAATTAGGGAAGGCAGAATACTATCAAGATTTGAGAAACTTAAAAAAAAAAAAAAGGAAAAGGAAAAAAGAGCCAACAATGAACAAGAACCTCAAATATAGTCAAATATAGTTGGTAAATTCTAATGAGGGGGGGTGGGGGGAAGCCTAGAAAGCATTTTGACGGTGGAAATAGATCTTGATCTCTAGCCATTGCATTAAAAAAAGAAAAAGTTTGTTGTTTATTTCATATTAACTATTATTTTTTTCTTCAAAGTTTCTCTAACAATTTATAAGATTGAAGGAGGATTGAGGATAGAAAATGAAGTGGCAAAAAGTCTTATCAAATATTTGCTCTTCTGTTAATTTCTAAAACAAGTGACATTTTAATTGTTGGGAGATCAGTAGCTAATACAGAAACTCATATTTTACAAGGTCATGCTTGCCCTCCTCACTTGAATTAACTGTACCACCTGTAATGTGTTGTCTAATTTCTATATAGTTAATCAGGCAAAATGTTTAAGGAAAACATCCAATCGTGTTGTGGTTCCAAAGGCAACCCTTTTTGTGACTTGCCATTATCAATCTCTCTTTCATCTTTTCTTTTTTATAACTGCTGCAGAACTCCAAGTCAGCCATTCACTGCAGACCTAAATGTTAGCAAAAAGGACAGCATAGCCCAGCTTGGCATCCTCAAAGAAGTAACTAATGACTCAAAGGGAGCAGCAGGACTCTGCTGGAAGGTGAGGCTCTTGCCTCTGACTTTTTCTCTGATGCAAAATGTTAAATGATGAGATCAATTGTATTGACAGTGGCCTGCTGTGCTTTTCTTCCTGTAGGACTCTAGAGAAACAGAGTTTTGGTAGGTCTTAATAAGTGTTTTTTGACAGAATTCTATGCTGAAATAGAATGGTGGAAAAACCCTCAATGGCAAAGCTGCTGGAATTCCTCAAAACAGAGTGTCAGTGGGACCAGGCTCAGTCCCAGTAGACAATGAGGCAGGCCTGCCACCATGCAAATGAGACAAGGCTTGAGATTTGATGAATCTTCTATCTCCTTTTCCTACTCAGCTGACACTTGCTTTGAGGAAGGTTGTAAATGCAAGAGAGATTGTGGTATAATTCCTCAGACTGGCATTTCTGCCCCCTAGTCACCATTCGATTATCTTCCAAATTGCTGTGTTTCAGAGAGATAAAGATTTTTTATGGCTTGCTGACTTGAAACAACCACAAGAGCCGGCAAAGAGATGGCTAAGCGGCCATGCATAGTAATTCCATTGGTAAATGACAAAATCTTTGTTTGTATGACATTTCCAAAATTACTACAGAAGATGAATCTAAAATACAAAATGTCACATTTGGCATGCAAAACTATCACAATATATTTCAGTATAAAATTCATAGAGGCGTTTAATTTAGAATGTGTTTAATAACTCAGTCTGCCTGCATCAGTAATCCTGCCTTGAGGTTTAAAAAGATTGTCTTATTTATTCACATGGTGTTAATTTTTCAAATATTTTTGGAAACCAAAATATTAAGGTTAAGTCTTTATTGTTAATTAAGATTTTCTAATTAAACCAAAAATAATTGTTATTCTGATTAGTTTTTAAGTATGATTTGTACGAAAAAACAAAGGAAGTTGAACAAGTTTCACTGTTTATTTAACTGTGATTTAATTCCAGAAGCATTCTATCTATATGGAAATACGTATTATCTCTCATAAAATAAAGTCTATGCAGGATTTGAAAGTACTTACTGTTGGCTGCAGATTAGCTGGTGGTGCCACCAACTTGGGTGGCCAAGAGAGTAGCTTCCTTCCCAACTTGACATTATTTTTGCTTAAAGCACAATGTAACAGAGGATTCTTCGAAGTCAAATTATTATTCTGAAAACTATTAGGGACTTGTGAGTATAGAAAATATGATTTATCAACATTTGAGTTATTATTAATCCCTATTTAATTTTTGTTTAATCTGAAACAACAGTCCATTAAAAATCTTATCAATCCGTATAAACTTTTTAGTGTGTATTAAAAATGAAAATGTCCTGCTTCTCTCAGCTGTAGGTGAGCAATGAAATTCAAATATTCTGTAAAATATCCATGAGTCATGTCCTTTGGTTGCATGCAATTTGTGCTAGTTTTAGGAAAAAGCACATACAAATGCTATTCCTTTATTTCTTGACTCTCATTTGAAGCCTATGGGGCAATTGACACGATGTTGAAAGCACAGAAGTATTGCATCGGGTGAGGGCTCAGTCTGACCCGTTTTGCACTTCACCTGTCAACGTGGCAGTATGGTGCAGTGATTAGTGCTGTAGGTCAGGGCTGTCGCCTTTCAGACTCCGAGTTTGAAGTCTACTGTCCATGTTCACCAACCCCAGCTATCTTAAAAGGCATGCTGTGTGGTTTTTACAGGTGTTTGGTTTCCTGTTAATTCTATCTTATTATAATAGATGAATGGTTTCTGATGTCACGGATCATTAACATACCATGCCGGAAACCTGGCTAAACTTTCTCTCCCATCATTGGCAGTTTTGCCTTTTGACCCCCTAATTATATATCGTATGTCCTCATCTGTTATCGTTGCTAATACCTGACAATTACAGGTTGAGTAAAAATAATTGTCTACTTTCCCCCCCTGAGAAGCCCTTTGTCGCTAATTGTGTGGTTTTACCCAGTTCCTGCCCGACTCCGACTCCAGACCCCGGCCTGCCGTGGACGCTGCTCAGCCCGGGTCACCTGAGCCCCTTCAGATACACATCAGATGTCTGAGGGGCCTCAAAGACAAGGCTCCGCAAGGCTCTTACCTCCTCAGAGTGTCCCTGCTTGGGCGACTGGGGGGCCGTGTCTCGCCCTGGTGGCAAACGCAGCAGCTGCAGACCAGAACACATGCAGTCGGGCACGGCGGCAACTTCTATGACGTGGGGCTGTATTTCCACGAAACCCTTTACGTGGTAAGCTGCTGCGCACACGTGGGCCCTTCCTCGTGCTTGGCGCCCCTGCTCTCCCCGCCCGCCTCCGCCTCTCACCCCTGCCCCTGCAGCCGCAGACGCCACGCTCCGCGTAGGAAACACGCAGGGGCTCGTGCATGCGGGCGCACGCGTGCATTCCCTCACAGGTGCGCCGGGAGCACCCACGGCGTAGGAAGCACGGTCACGGGCCATGCACGAACGCCCTAAATCCTGTGTAAACTGGAGATGCCGTCCGCATTTATCAAGAACATATTTTATGGCCTCTTGGTATAGTCTTTGCCCTTTTCAGAATGTGCAAGCTCAGAGGTGGCCGGCACGTGCCCTTCCTGTGTACGTGCGGAGGCAGCCAGGGACGCTGATTACAGGTGAGAACCAGACCGTGGGTAAGAAGAGAGTCGGGGGACTGATCAGGACGTACAGGATGGGTAGAGGGGACAGTGCTGAGAGAGGAAGCGGCAGGTGAGACTGGGGAGTGATCCTGCGTGCAGCCATGAGAGGGGAGTCGGAGAGCATCATGTTACCCCGGGAGGCAGGAGAGGAAGGCCAGTTCCAGTTCCGCAGGTGTGAGCACCCCACACACATATCATGCCTCCCGGAGACCTGCAGCCCCAGAGAAAAGGAAGAAACTGGGCTGAGTTAGCCCCAGACTACTCATCTCATTTGGATACATTAGGTGCTGGGCATGGGCATAGGCAATTCACATATAGAGAATTGCCTTGTACACTATTAATTTGAATTTCTAAAAAAATATGTAAGAATCAATATAAGTATCACAGAGTGATATTTAAGAAGAAAATAATTTTTCTCTAAAATAGGAGTGTACTTTCTCCAGTTCCCCTTTAGGTTTTCTGTTTAAAAGTATCCTTTTTATTAATTTTACTATGTGGTATTTCACTAAAGGTGATAATATACTCTTCACATGAATATATTTTTTAGATAATATATTTCATTTATTTTGGCTAGTGAATGACCAGCTGAAAAAATTTAAATGGAAAATGTAGCCATAATAATGAGCAATTTTGTCAAGTAGATCTATAAACAATGAAACAATGATGTCAGGATTTACTTCCAATATGTGAGAAGGAAACAGATTTTCAACCTTCATTTTTTACCACCTTAACTTTTTAGATGTACAAAACCCTTAAGGACAGTGGCTACTTTTTTTGTTTCTTTTTTACTGAGCAGCAACTTCATAGCAAATTGTGAGAAATGAAAAAAATATAGTGTCAATAAAAGCCACACCACTAAATAATACGTGCAAAGTCCCAGATGACCACTTTGTAGTTCAGAAGTTGATAGGGATTAAAAACAAAAACAAAACCAAAAAATGGCCTGTTGATGGGAGCCAGGTACTATACAGACATTTAGTGAACATCACAGATGTAGGGAAGGAAAAGATTTTTTTTTCTTATAAGGTTCATGGCTGAGGTCCCTATAACAAAGGGCAGTTTAACAAGAGAAGAGCATAAAATTTTATTAAATATAAATTTAATAAAGTCCCAGGGGAGCCTTCAGAAATAAAGATACAAAGAAACAGGTAGACTTATGTATTTTTATACTTAGGTTTGAAGAGTGAGCAGTCGCGGAAAAATATAATTGGAGGACACAAAATATGATCTAATGGTAAAAAATTGGGAGGAACTTAGCAAGGACTGTTTGTTCAGATCCTTCTTGGCATCTGTATGTCTTCAGTTCCTTTCCTTGGGATATAGAAAGGGCACCTCTCAAATGAGGATCTTATGACCTGCTGCAGGGAAGAAGGGGATCAGAAAGTGAGAGTGAACTTCCTGCTTAATATCTTGAGGTTGCAGGTCCTCAACCCCACCAGAGCTTAGCTCTAAGCCATATCCACTGACAGTTTTAGATATAGTTTGGGGAACTGGTAGTAATGATAGTAGTAAGGACACCAGAAGTCTCTGAAAGAGACACTTAAACTCTTTCTGGGAACCAGTTCTTCCTAAGGGAAAAGGGACCCCTGACAAAATTCACTCAGAAAATAAGCAAACCTCAGTTGGCTCACCTGTGAAATAGGTATAATGATGTCTGCCTACCACAGACATGTGAGAAATGGCTGGGCTGACGCTTGCAGAAATACACAATGTCAATACATTGTAAAAATTCAGAAGCTTCCTGTATTATTATTGTTATAATTATGCAGTCTCTTTGATAATGAAGTCCAAAAATTTTTACCCGCTGGACTTTTCTTTTAATTAATATGATAAATGCATATCTTTCAGATAACTTTCAAATTAACCTTTTGTTGAGAACAATGTAGGTTAACGTTTTTTTCTCCCATAAAAGATCTCAAAGGCCTTGTTAGGAAGCATGGAGTGTATGTGAGGGGTGTTAGCCTAGGTTGCTTATGGGACCCTTTTCTGCTGGGGTTGCCCACTGACTGCCAGACCCAGGATTTGAGGACAGGTGTCAAGAAAGCATCAGGTGTACATCAGCTCCTGAACTGAGGGCTTGGTTCTCACTCTTTCCCTCAAGAATGTGGTGGTAGCTAAGAATTTAGTTAATAATTTACAAAAGGATCCAATCAGCACCTAACAGGCAATTACATGCTTTTGTTGGTACATTTTAATCAAGTACCTAAAATTTTAAAGCATGAAGCTAGGCTACAAAAAGAAGTACCATGAAATGAACTTGCTTTTTAGATCCATTTGTGTACATAACTGTTTACTTTGAAAGGCAACGTGAAGTGTTTTTATTATTGTTGTGATTTGTTTAGATGTCCACATGCTGGCTCTTCTCGTTGGAATATGAACCACATCTACTGGTGTGTTTGCTTGGCGGAGGGTATTCCATGTGAGCCCTTAAATGATTATAACAGAGTATCCTACAGATAAAATGCCAGGAGGGGTCAAAGGATAAAGAAATGCATCAAGGACATCTTCAGGAAGAGGGGTAGGAGCACTAAGAGACTGAGGTTGCACAGTGTTAAAAACTGCAGCCAGTCTGCAGGGAAAGCAAAGCCTGGCAATTGCTCCAACAATAAAATATGTTTTCCCTTCCTGCCAAACAGAACAAAAGTATCTTGAGCTAGTTGAAATAGGAACCCCAAATTTTCTTCCCCTGTGTCAGAAACAAACAAACAAACAAAAAATAATTACCTCCTGCCACAGTCAAGGAAAATTTACTCTTTAACAGCCTGACAAAATGTCACAGAATTACATTCATCCCTTGGTATCACCTAGCAAACTCCTGGATCCCCAAAGAAATACACTAGGCTGTTTCACATTCAGTATATATAAGAAAAGTATGAAATGCAGGGCAAAAACAAAAACAAGAAAAGCACCAAAACATCCAGAACTTGACAGGCATGAGAAGTCATCTGAGGCTTTTTGCTTTCAAAATAAAAATACTGCTGCTCAAAGTCCTGTTCGTTCCACTGGGCTCTGCCCAATAACATCAAGTTTTTTCACTAACCACACAATTCTGCCTGCCAGTCACTCAGCTGGTAGTTTGTTGGAGACTGACAGTTAAAACAGCAAGTTTTCAAGCAATGCAATTTTGTAATAACAGGAATACACTCACCCAAACACATAAGTGCACATTGTGTATATAATTGATACAGGGGCATTTAAGATACTTATTTCATTGCATTTTAAATACAAGTCTAAGACAGGTTCATCTCTCCTCTTGCTCCATGAGTCCGAGAAATTGGCTTCTGTAAGTTCGTTTGGGAGTGCTGGGCTTCTTAAGAATTCTAACTAGAGAGAGACGGTCATCTATTCTGGTGCAGTAAGTGGGAGCTGAGGGCCATCACCCAAACGAAAGAGCAAAGTCTCATTTCAGCAGAGCTCTGAGTCTGAGGAGATGTCTACGTTACACACCTGCAAGGTTATATCGCTAAGAATTCTTGGGATGAGGGTATGATGTTCTAGCATCAAGGGTGGCTTCCCTTCAACATCAGGCTGGGCCTGGAGGCAAACATTTGAAAGTTAAGTGAAAGGCATGCTTGTAAGTGGTGTAAGCCACACTATCGTTTCTTAGAATTGAGTAATATTCCATTGTAAATATATACCAAATTTACTCATGAATTGATGGACACTTGGGTTGTTTCCATGTCCTTGCAATAGTGAATTGTGCTGCCATAAACATTTGGGTGCAGATGTCTTTATTATAGAATCTCTTATGTTCTTTTGGTGGATGCCTAATAATGCTATTGCTGGATCAAATGGTATTTCTATTTTTAGCTCTTTGAGGTATCTCCAAATTCTTTTCCACAAAGCTTGCACTAATTTGCAGTCCCACCAGCACTGTAAAATTATCAAGTCCATTTATAACAAACCCACGGCCAATGTTATCAGCTTTTGACAATAGTGCACTGTGTTTCTATTTGAAGTGGAATTTGTGAACAGTTGCACAGCTCAATAGTATTTTTTTTAATTCTGTCTACTTAACAGCCCATAATGTCAAAGAAGACCAAGAGAATGCTGAAGGAAGAAAACAGATTTTTTAATGAGGATTGGGAATTGCAATATTGTTTCTGCTAAAGATAAGATGATTTGCTTGCTTTCGGATACTGCAGTATCAACATTAAAGAAATTCAATGCTCATCAGCATTATAACACTCAGAGGGACCACAGTATTTTAAATTAGAGGGAGAGTCACAAAAGGTTATATTGCAGAAATTAAAAAGATGAAAAGCGAAAGCAAAGGCCAGTCTTTTAAGCAGCAATCAGACCTGGAAATAATGCCACTGAAGCAACTGATAAAGTAGCTTATATGTAGAAATTGTGAAAGAATGTATTGTTGACAGCGCAAGATACTTAGACTCTGATAACATTTCAAAGTACAAACAATTACCTCTTTTAAGGAGAACCATAACTGGTTGGCAGCATGAATTAGCTTTTAACTTAACAGAATGACTTCATGCAATACTTCAAAAGGAAAATATATGTTCTTATTCAATCAGTTTGGATGAATCAATGTAGATTCCAATGTAGAATCATGATGCTACTGACTTGTTGCAGGTT